TAATACCGTTAGAGTTACAAAATTCAGTAAATCCAAGATTTTCAAATTCGGTTCCATGATCACTCCTAACACTAGTTATAGAGTAACCTTTTTCACTTTGGATAATTTTTGAAAATGTGATGAAATGTTCTAATGCTTCATCTTTTGTAGTTAAGAATAGAACCCAAGTATATCTAGAATAGTCATCTACCAAGACAAATGCATATTGTTTTCCACCCAAACTAGTAGTTCTAGTTGGCCCAAAAAGATCTAAATGGATCAATTGTAAAACTCTACTAGTTGATACATCATTAATGGATTAAAAGAAACTCGCTTTTGTTTTCCTTTAGCACAAACATCACAGATTTTATCATTATCAAATTTTAGTTTAGGCAGCCCTCGAACCAATTCTCCTTGAACTAACCGTTGCAAAACACTCATACTAGCATGTCCTAGTCTCCTATGCCATAACCAACTATCATGCTCATCCTTAGCAACTAGGCATAAATTAGTCATATCAAAAGAATCTAAATGCACCATGTATATGTTTCCTATTCTATGACCAAAAAGAATAATCCGATTAGATGCAATGTCAATGACTTTACAACCATTAATTTCAAATAAGACATTGAATCCTTTATCGCATAATTGACTAATACTCAATAGATTATGCTTTAATCCATTCACATATAAAATATTTTTAATTTGTATGGAAGATGTATTACCTATTGTACCAAAACCTTCAATGTGACCTTTTGAATTGTCTCCAAAAGTCACTTCTCCTTCATTTTTGGCGTTAAGCTCAATGAACCGGCTTTTGTCTCCGGTCATGTGTCTTAAGCATCCACTATCAAGGTATCATGAATTTGAATTTGTTTCCCGTGCCTTGTAACAATGCTCATTTCCCTACAAACATAGATTAATTTTTGATTTTTGGTACCCAAATTCTTTTGGGTTCATATTCATTAGTTTCCAAAATCCTAGTCCCCTTAGGTATCCATTTGTGTAGGATATTTTTATCTTTAATAGTAATGAGTTCTTTAGGAACCCACATACTTCTAACGATTTTTCTATTAGAGTTTCTTTGGGGACCTCTATGATTGTAGTTTCTAGAACTTTTTCTAACAAAGTTGGATTTTGAATTTCCACCTTTTTCAAAATGTTTTGTTCCAACTTTATCAAAGGAAGTTTTAAGATCATCAATTTTCTTTTGATGATCATCATTGATCTTTGAAAGTAAATTTTGCAAATCTAAATTTTTCTTTTCAAACTCTTCTAGTTTGATTTGCAAATCTTTGATTTTACTTTCAAGATCTTGTTGGTTTTGGATATGAGTTTGTTTTCATTTTTCAATTTTGAAACATCATTTTTATATTTTAAAAATAATTTCTCATAATCCGAAGTCAACCCATTATATTCCTCTAATAACTCATCATAGGATAAATCATCAAAATCGGATGAGTTAGAGGTTACCTTAGAATCTTCCCCGAATGTCATCAAGCACAAGTTAGCTACTTCTTGTTCCTCTTCATCAGAACCTTCTTCATCGCTCCATGTAGCCACATGAGCCCTGTATTTATTTTTTGATTGACCATTTTTCTTCAATTGTGAGCAATCATATTTGATATGCCCTGGTTTTTTGCATTCGTAGCAAATGATTGGGTTCTTCTCTTTCGGTTCATTTTTGAGGCCTTCATTTCGTTTGAATTTTCTTCCTCGATAAGGTCTCATCATTTTTCTGAACCGTTTGGCAAACAATGCCATTTCCTCTTCATCGTCATCGGCATTCGAATCACTCTCATCTTTTGTGGATTTGAGAGCAACTCCAATGTTTTTCTTCTTCTCCTTCTCATTTGGTGTCTCGTCAATCTTGTCGAGGTCCACCTCATCTTCGAGCATCATTTCATGAGTGAGGAGTGACCCAATTAGCTCTTCAAGAGTTAAGGACGTTAAGTCCTTAGACTCGATGATTACCGTCTTATTTGATTACCACGATTTTGGGAGGGAGTATACTAACTTCCTCACAAGCTTTTCATTTGAAATGATCTCTCCATATAATTTGAGACCATTGACAATCGTTGAAAATCTATCCGTCATAGCTTTGATATCTTCATTTGGTTTCATCCTGAAATTTTCATAGCTATGCGTTAGAATACTAATTTTAGATTTCTTTACCTCATCGGTACCTTCATGAGTGACTTGAAGTTTGTCCCATATTTCTTTGGCGGTTGTACACGATGAAACTCTTCTGTATTCATCTGGCCCAAGAGCACAAAAAATAATATGGATAGCTTTGGAGTTGAGCTGGAACATTCTTGTCTCTCCTTCACTCCACAACCTTGGATGAGTGAGAGGTTTGATGTATCCTTCTTCTACGACTTTCCATGCTCTCATGTCACTTGCTTGAATGAAGTACATCATTCTATTCTTCCAATAGGCATAGTTAGCTCCATTGAAGAAAGGAGGCTTGTTGACGGGCATCGAATCGAGACCGGAGTCGAAGTTTGAAGCAAAGACCATTGATGACTTTGATTATCGATATAACTCTTCCCGAATCGACTCAAGAGGCGATTAAACCTTCAAATGAGTTAGGATCTGATACCAATTGTTGAGTTAATCGATTGACTGAATCGGCCAAGAGGGGGGTGAATTGGCAATAAAAATTTTGGTGGAAGCTTTTGCAGAAAATTGAAAGAAATTGCACAGCGATTTAGAGTGGTTCGACTTTATCAACCAAAGTCTACGTCCACTACCTTAGCTATCCACACTAAGGATTTTCCAACAAATTCACTAAATTTTTCTTTCTTTTGAGGCCAAAGAGATAACCTTACAACTCCCTCAAGAATATACCCCAATTCTTGAGAACACTCTTTTCTCAAAGAGAAATACAAATTTGCAAACTTACAAGAAAAACCTCACAAGGCAAAAATGTTTGCACAATTCTAGAACAAAGAAAGAACACTCAAGAATAAATACAATTGAGCACAATAAGTGTTCTTGAAAGCAAAATGAATATTGAATGAAAAATAGGCTTGAAATGCTCAAACTTGAGGTTTGATGCTTTCTCTTTGATTCTCTCTTGATTCTAATTGCTTGATGTTTCTTATTGTTGATCAATGGCTTCTAAGCTTGCTTAAATACACCTTGAATCACTTCTGAACATTGGGGATGATTAGAGAAAATAATATAGCCGTTTTAGTGTGAAAACAATTAATAAAACAGTTTGGAGCGTGGGGGGAATCGGTATCCCCTTTGGGGAATCGATTCCCTAAGTGTAAAATTTAAATATTCGACCGTTATACAAGGGGGAATCGGTTCCCTCCGAGCATACTGGAATTCTCGGAGCAAAACCATTCAGGGGGGAATCGGTACCCCCTGGGGGGGGAATCGATTCCCTCTGAGCAATCTGGAATTTTTAGCTTTGAAATGATTCGAAATACTTTGTAAAATTATTTTGAAATTGTTTTAAAAATGATCTTTAAAAGATTTGGAGTAATGTTTTGATATTCGAATAGTTATATTGAATATACTTAGAAAATCATTTGAAAAATCTTAAAATTCATTTAACTTAATTTGTTATAACGAAATATCAAAATGTTTTCAACATAATTATTTTCCATCACTTCATTATGGTTATTTTTTAAAATTATATTATAATTATATATAATTTTTATTATTATTAGAAAGCTGATATCGAAATAGAAATATTGTCCTTTTTTCATTAGTTATATTGTGGCAACTTACAAACTAAAAAATTAAAATTAATTTGTATAATTTGTATTTACTAATTTTATCATTAAAAAGTCTATTTTTATCGATTTTGTTACGGTTTTGTTATTGTTGGGCATAACAAAACCGATAAAAATTACCTAAAACATTATTATTTCTACCTAAAACATCAATGTTTTTTAATATTTCTGGTAAAATGCCCAACAATAACAAAACCGGTAAAAAAAATAACAAAACCGGTAGCGCTTTACCGTTTTGTTAAAATAATTATGTTTTCGGTAATTTTTAACGGTTTGTTATTGTTGTATATCGGTTACATTGTAAATTTACCTATTACATTATAATTATCAGTTTCGATGTAACATATGTGTCGATACTTTTAGAAAATGTATCGACATATATGTTTAACTATTCTATCATTATAATATAATTAATGATATATTATTCTTATTATAATAAATAATAAATATAAATTATAATAATTTTATTTTAATAAAATATAATAATCATAATTTTTTATTTATAATATTGTAGATATAATATTTTAATAATAATATTGACTTAAATAATATTAAATAAATTATTCTAATATTTTAAAAATAATATTATTATTTTGTTAATAAATAATATTGTTTTATCAAATATCTTATTGTATTTGATGTTTATAGTTATATTGTAATTATGATTATTTTCATCACTTCATTATGATTATTTTTTAAAATTATATTGTAATTATATATAATTTTTTTATTATTAGAAAGATAATATCGAAATAGAAATAATGTATCCTTTTTTCATTAGTTATATTGTGGCAACTTACAACTAAAAATTAAAATTAATTTGTGTTTACTAATTTTATCATTAAAAATTTTATTTTTACCGGTTTTGTTATTTTTGGCATAACAAAACTGGTAAAAATTACCTAAAACATTATTATTTCTACCTAAAACATCAATGTTTTTTAACATTTCCGGTAAAGTGCCCAACAATAACAAAACCGATAAAAAAATAACAAAATTGGTAGCGTTTTACCGGTTTTGTTAAAATAATGTGTTTTCGGTAATTTTTACCAGTTTTGTTATGCACAACAATAACAAATCTGATATATTTTACCCGGTAAAATGTTAAATAATAATAAAACCGGTAGAAATAATGATGTTTTCGGTAAATTTTACTCGTTTTTTATGCACAACAATAACAAAACGGTACCAACTTTTTTACCCAATAACAAAATCGGTACCATCTTTTTTTAACCGTATATTAAACGTCTTACGTCAGCATTTCCCGTGTTTATGGAGAAGTGTTTTCTTGTCATCTTCAAGGCTTATGGGAGAGCCCATTTTCCCGATAAAGCTGTGGATTTGTTCCATAAGATGCCTCATGATTTTCGTTGCATCCCCACTATTAAGTCTTTTAATTCCGTTCTCAACGTCATTATTAAAGAGGGTTTTTATCATCGAGCCTTGGACTTCTATAATCGTTCCGTTAATGCCAAGAACAACAATATTTCTCCAAATGTGCTCACTTTAAATCTGCTTCTTAAGGTACTGTGTAAGTTGGGATGGGTCGATCGTACAGTTGAGGTGTTCAGAGAAATGCCCGTGAGGATATGTCCGTCCGATGTCTATCCTTACTGTACATTGATGGTTGGGTTGTGCAAGGAGGATAGGATTGATGAGACTGTTTCCTTGTTGGACGAAATGCAAACCGAGGGTTGCTTCCCTTCCCCTGTTACTTTCAATGTATTGATTAATGGGTTATGCAAAAAGGGTGACTTGGCTCGAGCAGCAAAGCTAGTGGAAAATATGTTTCTCAAAGGTTGTTGTCCTAACCAAGTTACTTCTAACACACTCATCCATGGTTTGTGTATAAAGGGGAAGTTGGACGAGGCAGTTAGTCTTTTGGATCGCATGGTGTCCGTTAATTGTATTCCTAATGACATCACATATGGAACCATAGTTAATGGGCTTGTTAAGCAAGGGAGGGCGGAGGATGCGGTTCAAGTAATGATTTCTATGCATGAAAGAGGGCATGGAGTGAGTGAGTATGTTTACTCAGCCCTTATTAGTGGGCTGTTCAAGGGTGATAAATCTGAGGATGCAAGGAAACTGTGGACTCAAATGATGGAAAAAGGGTGTAAACCTAACACTGTTGTTTATAGTGCTCTTATAGACGGTTTGTGCCGCGAAGGAAAGACAAATGAAGCTGAGGAAGTTCTATCTGAAATGATAGACAAGGGTTGCACCCCTACTGTTTATACATATAGCTCCCTGATGATGGGTTCCTTCAAGGCAGGCAATTGCCATAAGGCAGCTAAGCTGTGGAAAGACATGGCAGAACATGAATGTATTCACAACAAGGTTTGTTACAGTGTACTAATCCATGGCCTTTGTGAGGCTGGGAATCTCAGTGAAGCTATGATGATGTGGAGAGATATGTTGGACAAAGGTTGTAAACCTGATGCAGTGGCTTACAGTTCAGTGATTCAGGGCCTCTGCAATGCTGGCTCAATAGAAGAGGCTTTGAAACTTTTTCATGAGATGCTTTGTCAGGAGACTGAATCTCAACCTGATGTGATCACCTATATACTTTTTAATGATTTATGCAACCAAACCAACATTTCCCGTGCCATTGATCTTTTAAATAACATGCTGGATAGGGCCTGTGATCCTGACATAGCACGTGCAATATATTTTTGAGAACACAGAGAGAGAAACTAGACCCTCCTCAAGATGGAAGGGAGTTTTTAGACGAGCTTGCCATCCGGTTATTAAACAGGCAAAGAGTTTTTGGTGCTTCTAGAATTGTACAAGTGATGATTCAGAAATTTTTGCCACCAAAACAATCTACTTGGGAAAGAGTTGTCCAAGAGCTCTGCAAACCTAAAAAAGTTCAAGCTGCCATTGACAAGTGTTGGAGAAACCTAGATTTTTAATTCTATTGATTGGGACCTCGTAAATCTTTTAGTGGTTACTTCTGAAAGATTTGTTCATCCCTGAGTGTAGTATTTCTCTTCCCATACAGTTACAATGAAATTATCATCGAGGATGGACCTGCAGAATATTGTTGGAGACACAAGTCAATCTGTTTGCTGCAAGATGTGCCTTCTTGACATGCTTTGGAACTCCTTTTAAACTTCATTCTGTGCTCTTGTATCTTGAATAGGAGATAGTCTCACTCCTGTTTAATATCTGTGACTATACTAAGAACTTGCATAAAGTATGGTTGACAATCAGGTGGTTTATTCCTGGTTTGGCTTCCTTTACATAGTATCTTCTAACGAGAAGTGCTGCAGCCATCATCGTCAACAGATATCAGGCTTGTTAAGGTATCCAAGCTCGAAAAGAAAGCAAGAAGACCACTTGAAATAGCTATCAACGAAAAAAGCATGGTATTTATTGGTGTTCCAGTCTTTGGATCACTCGAGCCCATGCAATACAAGTATTGTATCATACCTTCCCTAGCGCTCCTACCAGGACAGTGGTCATCCCCTTTTAGGGGCACCAAGCGCTCCTATGAACTTTGCCCATTTCATTCCTGCAGTTAGGGCTGTAAACGAGCCGAGTGGAGCTTGAGTATTGCTGAGCTCGACTCGAACTCGAAAATGCTCGAACTCAAAAAAAAATTCAGGAGCTCAATTGAAGCTCGAGACTCGAGCTCGATTGAAGCTCGATTTTGAGCTCGAACTCAAACTCGAATTTGAAGCTAACAAAATCTTATATTACATTTAAAATTATATTTTTAAATTTTTTTAATTATCAGTAATTTATTTTTAGTAATTTAATTTTAAAAAATCTAAAATTATAATATAACATTTTTTTCGAGTAGCTCGCGAGCTTTTCGAGTCGAGTATTAAGTAGCTCGTTTTTAGATCGTTAAGAATTCTAGTCGACCTCGAGTCGACAGTCGAGTCATTCAATTCGAGTGATGATTGAGCTTTGACCGAATCGATCTCGAGTAGCTCACGATCTGTCTCATCTCATTTATAGCCCTACCTACAGTAACAAACAGGCAGCAAATGGATCTATATGTGTATTTCTGCATCATACATCTGAAAAGTGTCAGCAAGCAATATATAACAGGGATGATTGACATCTATCAAGTAATCTTGATGTTTTGTATCTTGACAAGTTTTTTTGATTCTTCAGCCATGGTGGCAATGTTGTCAAACCCATCATGGGCAAAGTAAAGAATAGCAGCTGCCTGGAAGATCCATTTGAATTGTGAAGTTTTGTTCATGCTGATTGTTGCATTGGTTGTAGCATTTGCCAAATCTGCAACTGTGATGGGTTCTTAATAGATTTTATCCCTCGCTGACATTTTTATGGATACCCAGTGACTTAGGTTGACGGTTTAGGAGAGTGGGGAAGTAAGAAGCATGCCTGGCAACGCTGCGCTTCCAACAATGCTTTCAGAAGTATGTTTCCAGCTGTGATGAGTGCCTAAATATCTCCTAATTCAATTCTTAAATAGGCAAACAAGTCACCTACCACTAGTATGTCCGCTACAGACTGTATAGCATAATACCGTAAACATTGCTGAAATACCAGAGGCAACACATTACAAGGAAATGTGTGGTGTAGCGTGATTGTGAGCTTCTTGACCAGTCAGCAAAAAGATGCCTGATCCAGTGATGGAGCCAAAGCTAAACCATATAAGATCCCAAAGGCGAGGCAACATTTCATGTCATTCTTACATTGTTTCTGAAGTTATATTCTATATTGGGCATCATTATAGTGGCTTATAAACTGATCCTTGGATCAGGAACATATTTGTGATAATGCTGGTGTGCTGATTCTGGAATGATTCTTGTGGTAAGAAATCATGTTTGCTCCATCTCCAGTAAGTTCTTTGTTGGAGCTTGACCCCTTATATAATTATTTTGCTTTGTTCTCTAGATTCTCACGGCTTTTCAATGTTTTTATGTAAACTACTGATGATATGTAGACTTTATATTGATTCACTGATCACTACTGCCATGATTTGTGGGATCCTTGGCACGGTGGTTCAAATTCCGTTATATATTAAGATAATTATTGCCTCTATATTCTTGCGATTGTAATCAAACTTGCCTGATTAGTTACTGGTGTTTTTCGACCGTCACTCAGTAGTCGGTAGCCTAAATTTCGTTATGACCGGTGAGCATTTAAAGGAGGGACTTGACATGGAGGTTAGCCAAGGCCCGTTACCTGTTAGAGCCTCTACCGTATAGTTTTTATTGTTTTATGCTTGCTCCTTTTTTCCATCACGCAACTAGGAGGTTCCAGGTGCTCAATCACATGAGCCTCTACCGTTGGATCGATTTCATCGAATGTTGTGACCCCATGCTTCTCTGCTTCCAACATCGTCATATCTACTGCTACTACTATCCATTGCCTTCTCCTTTCCCAATTCAACTTCATTCTGTTCTGCAAGTCTAAGGCTGTTGCCTTTTGACTCTAAACCTGCACCCCAAGTTTTAAAATATTCAGTGAACCAAAGTATTGGGTTTTATATAGACCCTGAAAGTGGAGTCTCAAGAATGAACACCAGTATTTCAACGTTATCCAATGTTTGCATTGAAGAAAAGTGGGATGTAGACTGGCCATTAAAATACTTGGCAATTCAACATATTTTTCCCTCCCAACTATATTTAAAGTTGACAAATAATACCAAGTGTATGGTTGTCCAAAAACCATGTTAAGGTCATAATTTCCGACAACCAATGTACACTGGAACTTACAGTTTCTGGCAGAAACACAGAGAGATGTTAACAATTTTACTGGTTCTCTTCATGCTCAGTTTCATTCAAATTGCAACTAATTCAGCCTACTGTCACCGCACCAAGCATATTGAAGCGGATTGTCACTATATTCATGAAGCTGCCAACAATCAAGTTATTTCTCTTCCACGTGTTTTTACTATTTTACAAATTGCTGGCGTGTTTACCAAATCTCTTACTCCACAACGCCATCACCTTGTTAGTAAATTGATGCTCTCTGATAAATCAATATCTATTTGAGAGGATGTTACGATATATATTTCTTTTCATAGCTATTTTATATTGATGTAAATAAATAGATATCAGCTATAACTTCCTCCTTTCATAACTATTTTATACTGTTATAAATAAAGAAATATAGGTTATGAAAATTTTGATAATTTCAAAGACGTCTGCCCCTTTATATTTCGAATCTATAATTTCTAGTTGTATTTTTATTGTAGTCATTTCTGACAAATAATGGACACCATTTAATTTCAAAGAAAAAATTATAGGTTATGAAAATTTTGATAATTGGTATCTATCAAGTCCAGTAAATATATAAATTACATCCATATACTTTTGTGATTCTTATTAGCTTTTATTAAAGTGAGATGAATGGTGAGAATTTTCTGAAGGATGTTAAATGCCTAAATATAACGTTTAAAAGTACTATGCCGTAACTTTAAAAGGTAATAAAAATGAAACATTCATAAATATCAAACACCATTATTAACAGAACAATGATAAATAGTAAATCTCACTTAACTGAAGCCCGAAAAATATGACAAGAGAAACGGTAAATTCAAGATTTGTTTCCTAATTGTTGCCACCTACTCTCAAAACAAAAGGGACTCTTTCAAAAACAAACCATGGCATAAACCTTATAAATCAATGAATGCATTCATCCCAAACCCAAACCAAGCAACATCCATTCACCCTTTCAAAACAAACAAAACGTACAAGATGTCTTCCAAGACTCTTTTGGTCCCCATGTTCACTATATTTTTCTTGTCCCTCGTCGTCTTCTCTCCGTCGACGGTTTCCGCAGATAAAAAACTCGTCACCAGAATATGCAATGAGGATACCATCAAGGACACAAAAGGGTGCTTGAAAACCCTTTCCAAACCCAAAACTGTTGCGGCACATGACATTAACCAACTCGTTGATCTCGTCATGAAAGAAGGGGCGTCGAAGGCGAAGAAGACGCTCAATGTCATCGAGGAGATGATGAAGAAACCGACTTCACCGGCGGCACTTACGGCTCTGAAGACGTGCGCCGAGGTTTATAGGTATTGCGTGGACGAGTTCAAATTGGTTGGGCCGGAATTGGCTGCAGATGCGATGACTGCAAATTATGATGTTGCGCTTATTAGTCCCGAAGTTGATACTTGTATCAAGGCATTGCAGGCTGCCAAGCTTAATGACGCGGAACTGAACAAAGGGAATGATGAGTTAAATTATTATGCTTCTTTGGGATACGGAATGACAGTAAATTTATCTTAGCAAATGAGCCTGTATGTCGTACGTAATCAATATTTACGAATAAATGCGGATGTAGAGTCTTGCTTTGTTTTGCACAAACTGAAAGGGTTATTGAATGAAAAATAAAAAAGTTGCATTGCGTTGCTATACTTTATATTGCAAATTTCTTGTTTTACATCATCTACTCAAATTGTTTGCAATAATGGAAACTCCCACTCGGTTCGATTCGTGAAAATTCAAGTATTTTTTACATTAATAATATAGTTTTATGGTTTGAGATTACGCTTTTCAATATTGATGTTTTTTAAAATTCGAACATGAATCCTCTTCTTAGTTTATTACTAACATTTGACACTATCTTCGTGGTTTACAACAACTATGAGAAAACGATATAAACTTCCACCTAATTTAAGTTTTTTTATTCTTTAATTTAAAAGAGCCTTTTTTTAAAAAGAAAATTAATTGTAAAATATA